GCACTCTAGGTTTTCAGAGGGAAAATACATATTTATGATCATTCTATGGAAGTCACGTAGTTATGCAAATAAGGGTTTCCGAAAACATTTCGACTTTAACTCTTTTTAACTCCTTTAATTCCGTCGACGTTTGAGAGGTTAATTATATTTTGCAAAACAATAACTTTTCTTTGCAGACAAATCTATTGTCTGACCGCTCAGTTTGCTCGCTCCTTACACAGGTAGTCCTATTCTCAATAAATTCTAATCAGCATAGATTCTGATAACAAATTCACTGATCAATACTTTATGTTCTGATTAGAGGATTGATTTATTAGATTAATACACTGATAACAATCAATAATGAACAAAAGACCGTTGCATAGTAGATTGTACTGCAATTTCAATGGTTAATAATCAGCGCCGGATTGATGAGTTTGATTATAGCCAGTCAGATCCCAATGAGATTGTTTTGAGGTTAATTCAAAGTTGCTAATTAATAAAAAACTGATAGCTTATGGTATTCGGGGGCCCATCTATACAGGCCTAGTCCGGCCCTGTTTATAATAATGATACATTCGAATTTAGTAATAATGGAGTTTTTTTTATTTTGTCGTAGATAGTATGAAATTTCTTTTCGTAAGTGACTATTTTATGAAAACTGCTGATATTATAGTATTCAAATTAGGGTCTCAGAATATCTCTGAACTCGAATCTTTATAATAGCAGTACGGAATCTGATAGTTTCCAGTGTATGGCAATAGATAGATACACCTAATACATGGAATATAAAGTGTAATAAAGGTTAAAACTTTATGTTACATTGTAGACGTGCATTTATACATACCCCTCCGGGGATTAAAATATTTCCACATATTCACATCGTTTCTTTTTAGGCGGGCGACAGGAGCCAAGCTGATGTCATAGTCCATGAGATAATGCACAGTTGGACAGGCAACTTGGTCACTAACAGGAACTTTGAGCATTTCTGGTTGAATGAGGGTTTCACCGTGTTCCTGGAGAGGAAGGTCGGGGCCTCACTCATCAATGACTCCGTTGAGGCCAAGAGGAGCCGTGACTTCCAGAGCTTGCTTGGTTTACAAGAGCTCAGTGAAGCGGTAAGTTGAAAATTTTTTGCATTATGCATGTCCGCTTGGCAATTTCGGTTTTTAGATCATATTTGTATATAATAAATGTCTGCTGGGCACATAGCTAAAGTAATTTGGATCAAAGAGATAGGAGGAGAGATAGATCAAGTTATGAGCTTTATGAAACAAAAATGGTCGTGAATACTCCTTAGTGTATGTCTGTAGTATTGATAATCTTTTGTTCTCTGGGTGGATCTCTACTAACTAAACACATTTTACTAATATTCTGTACAGATTTAACAACCAAATCCCATATTATACTTACTTACTCGTGATTACACTTTAACACTTACATCGCTTATAAACGTTTTGCACGTAGATTAGACATAACCCTCGCCACTTACTTCATATGAACAACAAAATGACGGGTGACCCCGAAATTCCAGGTGAGTGTCTTCGGGGCATCTAGTCCTCTAACGAACCTCGTGGTTGACCTAAATGGGATCCACCCAGATGACGCCTTCTCGCGAGTGCCTTACGAGAAGGGATCTCTCTTTCTGCGCTATCTTGAAGACCAAGCCGGAGGTCCTGGTAAGTTCTCCCTCTCAAGTACCTTCTGTTCTAGATCAATGATGTTCTTGGCTCTTCGAACCCGCTGACGAAGCTGGTGGTAGACCTAAATGGAGTACACCCTGATGATGCGTTTTCTACGGTTCCATATGAGAAAGGATCTCTGTTTTTGAGGTATTTGGAGAATCTTGTCGGTGGACCTGGTAAGTTTGTATTAAGTTAAAGTTATAAAGAGACGTGGTAAAGGAGTCTGAGTTTAGAAATATTGTTTTTTAGTGTAATAACTAGAGGTGTTATTATAGGCGTTTATCTCGATTTTCATTTTATTTTATGAACTCGATAAAAAGCAACTTAATCCTATGTGTCCGGAAGGCGAATCCACGCGAGACATATTTTCTAATGTGTTTCGTAAACTGGTAGTCAAGTGGTTAACCATACAATGTAATCTAGCATGTATTTGCTTCCTTCCAGTACCTACATACCATTTCATTTCAATCCTAACATTCCCATTGTCCTCCGCAGCGGTATTCGATGACTTCCTCCGTGCCTACCTGACTAAGTTCAGAAAGAAGTCCCTGGACACAGATCAGTTCAAGGCGTTCCTGCTGGAGTACTTCAAGGACAACCAGGCCATCAAGCAAGTAGACTGGGACTCCTGGCTACACAAGAGTGGGATGCCGCCGATCATTCCTGAGTAAGTTTATCTTTCTTATTGTAAACTTCATATAAAAAGTCGAGCAAGGAGTTTTGGGAGCGATACATGGATCTGTTGTAAAAACAAGAATATAAAGTCGTGTTCGGGCGCGATTTATGTCGGGCAAAATATTACAGAGATTTTTTAACTTTTCTTAATGTAATTGTTAAATTAGAAAGAAAGAGAAAACAATTATTCAGCACCAGACACGATGCTGCATAAATAAAATAAAGAAAAACGACAATAAAAGATAGTGTGGGTAAAAAAAGAACTAAAATTAATTTCACTTATAATTACACTAGCTACTTCCGCGCGGTTTTACACGCTCTGCTCAGCTCCTATTGGTCGTAGCGTGTTTTATAGCCATCCTCGATAAATGCACTATCCAACACAAAAAGAATTATTACAATCAGACTTGTAGTTACGGAGATTGGCGCGTTCAAAATAAAAAAATCTTCCGCTTTATATAATAGTATAAGAGTATAAGATATAAGATTCATGCTACCTACCTATTCGCGTAACTGTTTGACGTATTTATTTGACTAACACATTCCCTCACCTCAACTATTGCATCGGCCATGCACCGATCACTAATCAACCCACCACGCTATTAAGAATGTTCAAAATAATGTAAAATACTAAATGATAATTCGTCCGATAGTCGAGTAGAACTCGGGACCTCAACACTCGGCATGGCTTTGTTCATTGCTTCAATACACTACATTCAATAGACATCATATTTAACAAACTAAAATTCTGCTTATTCTGGAACAACAGGCATATTGTTATGTTATCTAATAAAGAGGTTTTGTACATAAAGGAATGACAGTAAAGTCTTATACAGTCTAACAACTGTAGCTGTTGTTCGAGAACTTACCACTCCTTATTATTTCATTATATTTCATATAATTGTTATTGCAATTACTTTACGACATTCAATAACTGTAGAAATATTTTATTACAAATTTAACTGATCTCACAGATAATCTGCATTATTTAGGTAATTTTTCTGTTTAAAAAAACTATCTTTAGACTTCCATCTTTGATTTGACAATTTCTTTTTTCTATTTAAGTATTAAAATGCTATTTATTGTTACAGCTACGACACTACAATGACGAAAGCTATATCGGCGCTGCTCGTCAAGATTGATGACTCGAACGCTTCCCTTTCATACGAGGACGTGGCCAACTTTACTCCTCATCAGATGATCCACATGCTGCAGCAACTCATTGACAGACCAGCGCTACCTATCGAAAGACTCACCACACTCGGCAAAGAGTATAAAGTTAATGGCAACAAGAATACTGAGATTTTGTATAGGTGAGTTTGTCTGATTATGTCTACTTTTGGATTATTTATGAACCCCATCCTTGTCCGAAAGTAATCAAACAATCTTGATATATTATTATGGTGTTTTGGTGAAAATTATGTGTTCATATCGCATACTATCATAGTTGGTATTTAATGGTTTTTACAAATTAATTATAATCCGGAAAGGCATTTTTAGCTTATTAATTTACGAAATATGGTCCTTTCCAGATGGCTGAGACTGTGCATAAGAAGCCGAGACGACACCAAACTCCAGGAAGTGTTCCAGTTCGTGAACAGCCAAGGTCGCATGAAGTACGTTCGTCCAGTTTACAGGGACCTCTATGCCTGGGAGGACGTCAGGGAACGAGCCATCGACAATTTCATTAAAAACGAAAAGTATATGATGCACGTGTCTGCTTACACCCTCAGAAAGGACCTCCACCTTGACGAAAAGACAAAAAATACTGAATAATATATTTTTACATATTGTATTATGTAAGATAGTGTAACTATAATTTTATGCCATAATATTGATTTCAATAAAATTATTATATTATGATGTTTATGGTTGTTTTTGTTCCTGTAATTTTATAAAAAGTGAAGTATAAATCGTAATGTTTTTAAGACGGATTCATCAAGTCGTATTTTTCGTACCGGTTGTTTAGATTCTTTCAGTCTGAACTCTATAATAGTTTTTAAGTAACAAATCAATTTTTAAGACTAAAATATGACCAGAACCAGAGCGGCAGAGCCGCATAAACCCTAAGGCCAACTAGGCAAGAGTCTAGAGCGCTAGGTCATGACGTGTCGAGACGCGCGTGCGTGGTCGTAGAGTGAAGGCGACGCCAATAAAATTAGGACTACCTATGAGGTAGTTACCTAGCGTTGAATCCGCCTCTGGCCATGCTCTGGCCAGAACAAATTTGATAGAAGCTGTAGAAGTATGCAAAGCTTGTAGGTGTTGTACTTAGTTAACACTTAGGTACGTCCTTGAGAAGAGGAAACACTGTTAGGGCCTTGTGTTAGGGTGTTACTGTTATCCCACCCACCAATCAATCGACATCGGTTGACGTTGATCGAGACTGAGTATACCGGTTTTTGGCATTGGCCAATGTTGATCGTGCGGACAGCGAGTAATAATAGAGAGCTCAAGTAGCTCGATTCGATTGACTTCTACTTTTCATTCATAATTCTTCTTTCCATCGATCATCAAAGAGTTTTGTGGCATAATCTTTATTATTGTGTGAAACAGTAGTATTCTGTGGTAACAAAACAACGTCAACATTACTGAACGTGTTGAAAATTGACAGAACACGGTTTGTCAATTTTGACATTCGTTAAAACATAACCTCTTCAGAAGTTGATTAAAAAATCTAATTTAGTGACAGAAATTAGTTAAAAAATACAATGTCTGCTGCAAAAAGAGTGCAGGTAATATCAATTAAGTCAATATTACTCTATAATCTATTAATGAAGAGTACTTTTGTAACATCAATCAAAATAAATAACCTAAAATTAAACAAAAACAATATTATTCCAGCAATGGGCCACCTTCGCTCGTACTTGGCACATATTTGACTGCAAATGGCAAGATCCTTATGAATCGGCTAATGTAATTAAGAAGTACTTGATGGGATTACACAAACCCATCTATCATCCTATGAATGACTGTGGAGATGTAGTGGTCTGTATCAATAGCCGAGAAATTGCTTTGAGAGGAGATGAGTGGCGTAAAAGAGCGTATTTCCACCATACTGGGTACCCTGGTGGAGCTTCTTGGACATTAGCTTGGGAACTACATAACAAAGATCCGACAATGGTAAGCACTCAATGTATCAAACATTATTTCTGATTAGAATTCTCATAGGAACTATAATATTTAAAATCAAGTCACATATTTGGTATCTTTTCATGTAAGATAAAGAGAACATACATACTGTACCAGTTTAGAAGTTATTTTTTGTGGTGTAAAACTAAATAAAAATGAAATAAGTCCAGTATAAATGTTGATAACTTTATGTGTGGTATATTCAAATGTAACCTAGACCTATTTCATTACATACTACCTAATAATATTTTACAGATTATCAAAAAAGCTGTGTACAGAGCAATGAAAGGCAATCTCCAAAGACGTCACACGATGGAACGCCTCCTTATATACCCTGGTGAGACTGTGCCCGAGGATGTCCTACAAAATGTCACCAGTCAGATTCGTCAAAACCGCCTTGTGCCAACCCGACTTGATCATATTCCTGAGGAAGTCAGCAAGGGTTACCCCAAAGTTATGGATTACCCAGAGGACTATATACTGAAATAAATAGCTTATTGTGTTATGTAAATATAAGTAGATAAGATTAGATTGTTAATAAATTAAATGTGGATGAAATTAATGCTAAGTTTTTTTTTTGTGCTTAACTCACAAGGAGGTTTAAATACTCTTATGTATTTAATAAACAAGTTTGTATTTCAGTCATTTCAATCATTAGACCTATTTTATAAGTTTTGATATTGTATATTTTTTTATAACATTTATTGAAATCAACATTTATAGCGACAAGTACTCAATCAATTCAGACCCTGTTTAATTTATCAAAAAAGTGTGGTGTTGCTACACACAATCTCTTACAAAATTCACAGAAAATATCGAATTTCACTCATTGTATAGTACTCAATTATGTTTTTTTTAATGGGGATAATCATCGAATGACTTCTCCCGCCTCTCACTCGCCTCGCCTCCTCCTTAGCTAGCATGACTGTTTCGCAAAAGGAGGAGACGGTATCCCAGTCCCCCTCGCTCCGCATCATGACCCGGACTTGGGCCGGACGCGAGAGGTCGCCGTCGCCGATCGCTTCCATGAGGGCACGGCGGTGCTCAGTTCATGCAGGGCATGCCCCTACCGTGTGTTCCACTGTGTCCTCAGGGCCGTCCTCGCAGTGATGATACCCGGGCGTTTCCTCCCGCGGTCCCGCCCTATCAGACACAGGTACCTCCCGAAGCTCCCATGTCCGGTGAGGACCTGCGTCAGGCGGTATGCGAGGACGCCGCCGTAGCGTCTCTCAAGCCGCTCCTCAAAGAGGGGACTTACCGCTGCAATGGCAGCGAGCCCAACTTAATTATGTGTACCGACATATTCTATCACAACATAAAATCTTTTATCCCCAAACAGGTAGGCAGTGGTGCACACATGTAACACCCACTTTTCACTATTTATGTTATGACATATTCTATCAATTTGTTGTAATTTACTTTTTTTTTCAGTATTTTGATTTAAACCATGAATAAAATACTGATAAAAATAAAAATGAAAGAATCAATCAGCGCAGTCGCCTTTTGCTGCTAACAAGGACTTTTCAGGCGTTTGCTCACACAATTATTATAGACACTACTTAAGTTTGGAAGAAGAAGTACTTGAAGTTCTTGTTTCTTCGCATCTACGTAAGAGTTTCACCTCATCTCTTGGGAAAGGGTTTATTTACCTATATGAAGATGGTGGTAGGCCTAATCAACCCCATGATAATTTTTTTAGTAGTCTCATAAAATTGTATACATACATACATGGTACCTGCTGTTCTTAAAATTCAGTGTGTAGGTAAGCAGGGTACGTAATATTTTGTACTACGAAGGTTGTTCCATTCACTGTTTTTCGTGATGTTTTTCCTGAATACAGTCATTGTTATTGTTACTACAGTTTTCTACGCAATTTCATGAGAAATAATTTTTAATCAAAGATTAGATATAAAAAAATAATAATATTCAAGTCACGATGTTTTAATCATACGTAGGCCTACATCGGTATCGTTCATTATGCTTATAGATAATTAATTAAAATAAAAGTAGGTACCTACTTACTAAGGTAAGATGATTAATAATTTTCTAAGAAGCGACCTAGCCAGTCTTAACTTATTCTTTAAAAAATAAAATCTATGTAGGTACTTACCAACAGTACCAACCAGTATTACAGTAGGATGGTAACCTACTTAAATCGAATTCAGTTCTAATCCGTTTCATCAAATCTAGGTTTAACAACCTAGTACTAAACTAAACCTAACAACTAAACCTAGGTTTTGGACTTCATTGCAAGCATTGTGTCCACTGCGCGTAGTGTCGTCCACCAACTGCAAGCAGTAAGCTACAGTCGGAGATTAACGGCCCTCGCCCATGGCACTTCGCGACTGTATAGTGCGGACGCGCGACAGCATTGCCACTGCATCGCTACAAAAATCCCCGTGGGTGAGGGCCTTAATTGGCGCAGTTGACATCCAGAGTAGAGGTCCAGTGCAATAACTCATGTAGTTAGCAATGACACAGTGGCGGATTAACCAAGTACGGGGCCCCTAGCAAATTCTATTGAGGGGCCCTTGATCTCAAACTGGATCTCCGTTGAAGTATAGTTTAACCCAGACCAGATGTCTATTTTATTGGATCATTATCACCAAAGTGTAAGGTACCTCTGTGATTTTCACGAAAAAGTAGATATACTACAAAGGCGAAGATGATTGGATTTGCGGGGCCCCGGGACTGGGTACTGTAGTAAATGTGTAGCAAGAGCAAGCTACGTAAATAGTTAATCTGGACTGGATGGACACCGTGGGGCGACGCTACAGATATATCACTCCACGATTAGTTTAAGTCACGACTGCATGCAGTTAATATTGACTTCACACGTCTGCGTGAAACTGATATCATGCTATTTATGATGGCAGCATAATGATCACTTTTTCTATTCATTTTAATCAATGTTAATAATAAATTTGGTAATAATCGATATATACTTACTTAAAAAACAGGTAGCCTCACGAGCTCACCGCGAGATAGAGCAAAATATTCTTACAAACAGGTGTTATGCCTGTAATCTACCTATATATATATAATTCAAAGGTGATTGACTGACTGACTGACTGACTGACATAGTGATCTATCAACGCACAGCCCAAACCGCTGGACAGATTGGGCTAAAATTTGGCATACAGATAGATGTTATGACGTAGGCGTCCGCTATGAAAGGTTTTTGATAATTTCCACCCCCAAGGGGGTAAAAAAGGGGATGAAAGTTTGTATGAAACTTTGTCAGTTTTTAACTGATCGGGTTGAAATTTGGCATGCAGATAGATGTTATGACGTAAATATCCGTTGTGAAAGGATTTTGATAATTTCCACCCCCAAGGGGGTAAAATAGGGGATGAAAGTTTGTGTGAGACTTTGTCAGTTTTAAACCGATCGGGTTGGAATTTGGCATGCAGATAGATGTTATGACGTAGGCATCTGCTGTGAAAGGATTTTGATAATTTCCACCCCCAAGTGGGTAAAATAGGGGATGAAAGTTTGTATGAGACTTTGTCAGTTTTAAATCGATCGGATTGAAATTTGACATGCAGATAGATGTTATCACATAGGCATCCGCTAAGAAAGGATTTTGATCATTTCCACCCCTAAGGGGGTAAAATAGGGGGTGAAAGTTTATATGAAGCTTTGTCAGTTTTACACCGATGTAAATGAAATTCGGCATGCAGGTAGATGTTATGACGTAGGCATCCCCAAGTAAGGATTTTGATTATTTCCACCTCCAATGGGGTAATGTAGGGGATGAACGTTTGTATGAAGATTTGTCAGTTTTACACCGATCGGATTGAAATTCGGCGTGCAGATGGATATTATGACGTAAACGTCCCTTTAGAACGGTTTTTGAACATTCTCACCCCAAAGTGGGTAAAATAGGGGGTGAAAGTTTGTATGATACTTTGCCAGTTTAAAATTGATCGGGCTGAGATTTTGCATGCATAAAGTTACTATGACATAGGTATCTCCTTAGAAAGGATTTTGATAAATTCCACCCCTAAGGGGGTAAAATAGAGAATGAGAGTTTGTAGAAATCTTCTTAGCCATTGCATTTAGAATCATTGAATCTTTTTGAATTACAGTCGGTAAAACGATGATTTGGGACCTGGGTAACGTTTGATAGTTTTTATCACAGATGTCCCACGGGAACGGGAACTATGCTACTAACTAACTATAACTCTTAACCACTGAACTTATTTTAGAGAGATTCGGTACAACAATAGTCGATAGAATAGTTTTTATTACTCAAACCTTACGTGATCGGGCACTGTACTGGTAACATCCCTGCGGGATTATTTATTTATTGAAACTACGATAAATCATTTCAAAATAGGTAAATCTTACTTGGGCACTGAATTGATTCTGGTTAATTCTGTCAGAAGTCATTAATCTACGCGGACGAAGTCGCGGGCAACAGCTAGTATGATTATATTTGTATTATAACTTTTGTGAGACATACTAAATAAACTTAGGCGCGCTGGGCTCGCAGACTCGAGTAGCCAGTAGCAGTCGCCGCGTCGCGGGTCGCGAAATGCTGCTCATGAATATGAGCCTCTAGTATGGCTTGAAACTAGTCGAGTTCCTCTTCAAATAATTACGTGAGTAAGCCGAAAACATAATAATATATGTAATATGATTACATAAAAACCACACCTTACATAATTCCAGCTGAAATTCATATAAATTATATGTCATAAATTTTGTGCCATCAATCAACTCCTATCGTTTTATTTCCTTTGGCAATGAGTGGGCTCATTTAGGTTTTTCCAAGTGATTAATTTAATTCTAATTAGTTACATGGATTATAATAAGTACTTACTTACCTAATCATCGGTTTATCTTATCAGACTTTTGTAGCAAAATCAGTTTCTTTCCTTGTATTACTTAGTCAAGATTTGCAAAATTGTAAACAAATTAGATTTATCAGTATGTATGTATCTGTATTTGGGAAATTCTAAATTAATAAATAAGGTAGGTGACTGTTTTTTCTTACTTTATCTACATGAGAATGAAGTTAGAATGATGTGCACTGTGCACTTTAATCTTAAAAGACATTTGTCGAGTTTTCATGATCACTACGCTAGAAACCTTCGAACATTAGAAACCTGTTTTGATTTTAGGACATAGGCGTTAAACAGTAAGAAACCATCAGGTAATATATTAATTTATCAGTTTATTTGTTGGACTTTTATTTACTTTTGTTTGATTTGTGATAAGGTATAAATTCACAGTTATTTTAAAAAAATATATATTTTTGAGATTGTGTACAGTGAGAAAATAAAGTTACTTTATGGCCTTAAATAGTAAATGAAATTAAAATTTATTTCACGAATAAAATTCTTAACGCGGTTTGGAGTTGTCATTGCGTAGGTAGAGGAGGTCGACTATTACAAGACGGCGGCGTCAACGAATTTGACGGCAACGGGAACAATCTCTTCTTCGGCGGCGGCAACAACCTCGGCGACCTCGCTGTCTACATTCTCGGCAGCATCAACGAAGAGGACGGCGGAAGGGACAATCTCTTCTTCAGCGGCGGCGACAACCTCGGCGACC